ATTTTTGAATATAATGGCTGGTTTATGCTTCGGTCTTAATCTTAATCTTAGCCTTAGTCTTAACTTAATCTTAAGGACTCGTTTATGCTTCCCTGGAAATTCGGACTACGCATGTGCAAATGTAACAAAACCTAACCATTAATTTATTTTTATAATTTGGATTTTTTATTCCAAACAACATCGAATTGTTGGACACATTCAATTAAATCAGCATCACTCATTTTTTGTATTTTACAAGAATCGAAAACCATTATTTCGCGCGGTTTCGTGCTGCGTCGGACGTCAGACTTACCTCATTGGCCCGGCCTTAGGACATTAGGGACTAAAGTTAAAAGATGGGATCTTTCCAAGATTAAGATTAAGACTAAGATTAAGACTAGGGAAGTATAAACGCCCTTATGGCATTCTACGTTATCAACTCTTAAGATTAAGATTAAGACCGAAGCATAAACCGGCCATAAGACAAAACTTAAGACAATCTTAAATATAAGAACGGACTATGAATACCGGCCTTAAAGCCAACTTGACTTGGGTAGTTTTCCACCAAGAGACACAAGCAACACAAAAGTATTATTCTCTCTGTTGCTCATTGAATATCAAACAAAGACAGAGTGATACTTGTGTCGATTTGTGTCAACTTGTGTCCTTTGCTGGAAAACATACTTGGTATCCAAGATCTGTGGCGACACCGTATGGCAACGGGGTCGAGAATAACTAATCCATACAATAGTGTGCGTGTCAAAGGTGCGTGTTGTTCAGTGCATGAATCTTTGACAATAAATTAAATATATAAAAATGGTGTTATATTGTTTTGTGGAAGGCTGCGAATCGAGGAAATATAAAAAAGGGACATAAATGACTCCAGCCTGCAGTTTTACAAATCTAATCCTTGCATCTTTCTTACGTACTTTGAATTTCCCACAATTTGCCACACAGAGCGGGGCCAAAATCTTGAAAGATGTTGGATACATATCCTTATACACGGGTTAGATAAGAAAAGTGGGGATAACTAACAGTCCATATTTTCATAGTCAAAGGTATAACCAATCAACTTGCATTTTTTATGGAAAAACGGTAATTTTATTGGTTATATGTTTCTCGAACCGAGATCTCGGACCGATTTCTAGCATCGTGGACATTGGCCTTAAGCGAGCGGTCAGACAATGAGAGGCAGTGGGATTGTTTTGTCTCTTTTCTTCGCAGGCTTAAAGTTTGTTCGCATCGCCTACCCCAACATGCTTCAATATGCTCCAATCTATAAAATATTACGTTACGTATATAAAACTTGATTAAAAACCTTCTTTTTTATACATGTATAGAGTATACATGAGTAACACATGTACAGAGTCGGTGAAGAGAGCCTACAACAGAAAGAGAAGAAAATTCTCCTCCGAGAATGCTCTTTGACTGTATCTCGAGCAGCACGGCGCTTTCCAGTTTGTATAGAGTTCAGTAGTTTAATATAAATACAACGCTGCATCTGTATGTGTAAATCGGCATATGATATGATTTTTGACCAATCAAATGCATTTTCTGCTGACAATTTCGGAACACCTGATAGATGGAGTAATAATACAGTGAGTGACAGCGCTTTCTAGAAATTCGGTACTCATAGGCCGGTATTCATAGTCCGTTCTTATATTCAAGATCGTCTTAAGCACGAACTTATATTCGCTCTCTTCGTCAGACACAATCTATGTGTGACGAAGAGAGCGAATATAAGTCCGTGCTTAAGACGATTTTA